AAATTGAAACTTTTTACAAAAATGTACGATTAATTGTATTTTAATCATTACAGAAGGATAAAATAAAAGATAGAGTTCAATTTCGCTTAAAGGTGGAACTGAAACAGAATCGTGCAATTATAGTCTAAATTTTTTTGTCATATCTTACATTATAGCCAATAAAAATCGAAATCGTGTTTGTAGTATAAATAGAATTTAATGAAAGGAAGGAAATTGTTTTCGTGATATTTATTAGTAAGAATCGAAGAAGCAAAAAAGTTGTAGTTTATATAAAACGAACAATCTTTTGGAGATTGGAAATATTGGAAATTGCGTGTATTACATGGAATTACGATATTTATTTGCTCATCGAAATAAAGTGCTGATGTCCGAGAGAAGAAACGAGAACTATACGTAGCTTCTTTCGATCGGTGTTGCACGACGTTCCTCTAACGCGCATAAATCCTTTTTACGGCAAATGTTTGAACACTTTCGCAAGTCATTACGTGTAAATCAAAACACGATAAATCTTTCCACGAAAAGTGTCACAGTTAAATTGAACGCGTCTTCGAGGCACGTTTTATCGATCGCCGGAGGCGGAGACATAAAATCGTGGGCTACAGAAAACTTTCACGCCGATAACCAGACTCGATTAATCGGTTCGCTCACCCTTCGCGAGAGATCCAGTTAAAAGGCAGGAGTCGGCGATTATGACATAATTAGTTGGATAAACCCTCTTCGGAAATTAAGTCTCAATTATCTTACTACATTCTAGTTTTTCTCTTCCCTGTCGTCTTACGACGAAAAAAAAAAAAAAAGAATGAGGAACGACGAGGCGTGAAGTGACGTGAATCTTCCTCGACACGACTAATCTCGACGAATAAAAATCCAATTTCGAAGTTCCAAGGAATTTCTTGGATACCACACCATCAGTGTGAGTTCACGTCGCGCGACTTGCGTTCCGACTTTCCCTCATAAGCTATGCATAGAGATGCGTGCTACGGCTGTCGATGTCGAGACGCGAACGCGACAGCATTTTCGCAACAGTCGCAAAAGATTAAAATTCGCTTTAAGTCCAAGCTCCCTGTTTTCTTTTCGAATGTTGCACGAGCCCATAGACTTAAGGAGCTTTCGTTGTTGCACGGTTGTTCGATCGATTTCCTCGTCCTATCTCATTACCGTGACCCACGTCCCTGGTAATTAATTGCTTTCATAATGCGACACCGTTGAAAATTCGATTAAAAGTTTCCTCGATTTCGTCGGACATCCACGCGACGAGGTAAACACGGTCCTCCGTTTGCGCGAAAATAGCGACACGGAAATTGATTTTTCCTCGGGGAGAGGAACGCACGGGGCAACGTTCATTTATGCACATTGAACGAAAAACGTCGACAAATTAATTTTCGTGTCTCGTTTAATAAAATAGTATTTAAAAGTCCTCGTGGTAATTTTTGAATGTTTATATTTCGAACGTTACAGGAAACATTCAATTGATTTTTAATGTTGTTGTATTAGAAATTCATTTTTCGTATTATGGACAATAATACACATATGTATCTCGTGTGTAAATATATTTTTGCAAGCCAACATGCAAGCATATTTTTTTCAATATATGTATATATTATCATCCACAAGTATTTGCACAGTTTATACAATTCGATTAGACAAGTACATTTTCAACTTTTGCAATGGAAAAATACCTTATAATAACTGGACTCGAGTGACCTGTTAAATTGAAAATTGAAACAAGGCTGCATCGTTCAAGTTCCAATAAATACTTGTGTTTGAAACACGATGGTCTGATATAAAATCTGAGATCAAAATTATATGGTATTATAGAGTGTCATTTGTAATATATTTCATATTTGGAAAAATGTCCAAAATATTTATGGATGGTAGTGTGTAAAATGTAAACGAGATTTTAATATCTTTTGAACAAGATTGACACAATCTTTAGCTTCGAATAAGCTTTTCTTATTTCTTTTATATATACTTTTTATAACAAAAAATTTTTTTTTACATTTATATAAATCACAGTGTTTGCTGCACAAACGTGTTTCTATAAAGTGAATAAATAAAACGTAATAGTACAATAATTAATAAAATGTTACGATATTTTAATTTCTTCACAGTCACAGCACTTATCTAGTTAAATTTATTTTAATTAAATTCATTTAGTGGTTATTTTTGGTCACGCATTCAACGTAATAATCTCTTTCTCGTAGGAGAACGATATTTGTCTTGGAGAAATGATATCTCGCGGCATTTCTTCAGAAATGCAAATTTAATTTAAAGTAAAGTCTTTATGAAAAATTGAATGTATGAGAGAAGTGAAGTCTACATTGGCTATGATTAAAAAAATGATTAAAAAACCTCATGAAGATTAAGATAGTTTCTCTCAGTTGGGGATGAAGAAGAATTTCCAAGACGACGGGAATAAAACTTCTACGCGAAGACGATATAAAGTGTTTTATATTCGCCAGTTTCTGCGCTATCGTTGAATCAGAAAGCAATTTTTAAGTGGTGGTATAAAACGCTAGGAGAAATTTAATCATCGCCATCAAGTAGCGTTGAAGACCTGCTCAGACAACGACCGGGATAAGGAAAGGAACAACTGGGACGCGGTTAATTCGCGCGATAAAGTCCGACTGACGATGCTTTAATTGCGTCTCGCCTAATTCCATCTCGGGGATCTCCATTGAAAATTTTCTTGGGAACTTGCAGAAATACTGTAAAACGACCTACGACTCACTTCGTGCTTCAGTGGTAAAAGTTCGTTTCTTCGTGTTATACGCCACTGAATTACTATTGGATTACGACTGCTGTTTTGTAAATGATACTAAGAAAGTTTTGGGAATGTTTTTTTATTCTAATTTATGATTTTGAATAATTTAAAAATTCTGTATTTACTTCTTAGTTCATCAATAGTATCATTGAGTCATAGTAATTTATATTTGTATTTTATTAATATGATATATATTTTATATTTTACATTCCCCGTGATTTTTAAAGTGGTAATGAAATTAAATAAAATTAGAAACTCCAGAATTATATGGAATAACTCAAAATTATTATGGTCACTGATGTTTCGATGATGCTATTATTAAGAGTTAATTTAAAATAACTTGTGAATGATTTAATCTCGCGAGAAAATTTAATCCAAAGTCACTTCGAAGATTTCATGTACCATTAATTATTAAGACTGTGTTATTGACATAATTACTAAAAATCACGAGATGATTTTTAAAGATTTCACATGGACAAATTTTTCATGGATTCTTTAATATTACGTTCAATGTTTTTGTACATTTATAACTCCAACTAAGGATAAACCAAACATAAAATAGTGACGGGAAACAAAACTGTCTTAAATGTCTGTTTTTAGTAATTTATCAATCAATATTTATCGATTAATGTAGCATTCAGATCCGTTGCAAAATTTGCAAAATTTGCATTGGAGAAGTTTAAATGACTTTCAATTACTTTTGTAGAATATCTTCGACACTTCTATTACTTTTGTCCCGTCTACATAGATCAAATCACAAAGTTAATCATTCTGAATTCTGTTTAAGATCGTTCAAGCCTCAATGACTAATAAAACACCAGCAATTGGGAAATATAGAACACGTTATTGCCCGTGTTTCGAAGATAAATCACATATGAATTAAACACGTTATACACCGCGTGCAAGGACTTTTAATCAAACCTTTAAAATTGGAAAACCGATTTCATTTCCCAACGGTGTTGGTCGTTATTTAATAATATAATTCCCCACCGGAGAACATGGGAAAAACTGGTTTGCCGGGGACTCGTAATATTTCGTGCTCACGGATAAACAGCTTTCATCTCTCGCGAACATCCAGCATTGAAGTATTCAAACGCCATTAAATCTCAGCCCATCCGTGCGGCGATTTCGCTGTTTTCCGCGTAAAATTTCACGACCGTTCTTCGCACCATGGTCATTTTCTTCCCTTATTGTTCGATAAAACGTGTAATTTTAGCGTTTCATTCATCGTAGGAACACAGACGCCTGGGCAAAGTTGGCGGAAACTCGTTTGTCTAGGCGTTCAGGCACCGACGATTGTTCTGGCTCCGATTGCGGCACGTACCGACTATTTGCACGACAATTTCGCGAAAACTGGGATAAAACTAATTCGTAATTACTAGCTCGTTGGTGGAGGCACGCTCGTAAATCGTCATGCGATAATAGCTTCACACACGATGGAGAAATTTCGAGAAAAGTTTTTCCCCACGCTGCTGTTTGTTCGACGGATTTTCTCAATGAATAATTCAATTCAAGCGGGATTTGATTTATGGAATTTTTATTCGCTAGACTGCGGTTATACTTTCTGACGAATTGTATCTGATGAGTATTTCGGGACAATGAAAATTACAAGATTTGTTACGAGAAATTATACGTCTTTTTTTAGATGTATCCGTTTAAAAAACAAAAGATAATAACAACCGTATTTCTGGAGAAAATAAAACATGGAAAAATTCCAATTTATAAAAGTTATGTAGCTTTAAATTTAATTTATATCTTTGCCTTATTGTATAATTTTTTATAAAATTTGAAGAACTTTCGTGGCAAAACTTTAGGCAAGAAGAAGTATTAACATTTCTTCTTCCTTGTTAAATTAATGTTCTGGAACTTGCGATACGATAATTAGTTCGTAAATCATTGTGCAACCAGACAGTTCAACGCATCTACTGTAATCGTAGTCTGATTAACAATTAACACATTGTTGATACATCGGCAAATTCACACAAAAAATATCCCACGTCTCTGTGTATTTTTCGGCAATTGAACATGAAAGTGAAACAATCTGAATAAGCTTCAACATACTTATTTACATATATTATTATTAGTATATTTATTTATACATATTACGTCCTACATTGCATTCTAAAAATTGCAATAGCTAACGTAAGTGATTGGTCTCAACAACTGAAACAACGTTTGGCCACCAGAACACGAGTCGACCTGTGACCAGTCAATAATGTGTTCAGCGAGGTCTTACCTCTTTCGCGACCATCATCGCCGTAGGCACGTACTTCATGGAACCACAGATGATGCCTAGCTGGTAAAGAGCGAAGATCAGAAGAAGGCCGGCGAAACAGATGATGGGCCCCTTTCGGCCGCCCCGGCTCAGCAAGAACGACATGTCGTCGTTTTGAACGACGACCACGTTGCTCGCGTGCACGTGCTCGGACGTATTTTGGGTGGCACGTTAGTGAGCACCGATGCAATTGTCACGGCCGGTGCGATGGTCACGGCGGGCTACTCGAGGCCAAGGTTTCAGGGCCTCGTGTTCCCGATTACGCCATTAGCTCATTGCACCTGTTTAACCAGGGGGAAAATTTGATTAGATAACAACGACGAAGTTTCGAACGGAAGTGAAGTTTCAGTGTTTAACGTGATCAGCAGACTGTGGACGTTTATGCAAATTGATGTTTTTGCGAATGAAGCTAACATCGCATGTTATACGTTATAGTGAGTCGCAGAAGTATCTTCCTCGTACTTTCACGATAAAATTATCAATAATGAAGTAATTTATTTTTCAAATATTTATGTTACTTAACTGACATCATCGATAAGGTGAAATAAGGAAGCAAACGATACAGACGAAATAAAAGTTTGTTTTAATAACGTTCAAGTTTTGCAATGGAGAGTGAAAGATAAAAAGATGGTACGATAGAACTATTCAGATTTAAAAATTCGGAGTTGAGAAGAATAAAAGTTACTTACAATTTTTAAAATTAGATAGCCTTCGGTGATTTTTTAAAATTTTAATTAATACTATTGTAATATCAAATATAAATAAATATATTTATTAAATATTAATATTAATTATAATATTAGATAGGTCAAATAATCTATCTGAAATTCGACAATTTTAAAGAAATTCGATCGATATTTATAATAATATTTCATTATTAAGTCATTTTAAAATTATCGTACATGATCTTGCACATGCATGTATCTTGATTGGTGGAAAATTCACAAATCCTTCATAAATACTGTATAATTATTTTGCTTGAAACTTCAAAGTACATTGATTGAGCTTTGAATGACACGCGTAAAATATTTCAAAAGCGCGCCGCTTTAAACCAATGGGCATGCACGTCGCGTTAGCCAATAGGAAAGCGACTAGAAGAGAATTTGGCGGGAGATGCCACAATTCCAGTTTCGGGTATCATGGCGTCGAGACGTGTCGATCTGTTTGAAAGTTGTGAATTTTGTTAGTGCGTAACATTTCCACTATCATTCTACCACCTCCTACAGTGTACTATCAGGTTCGTTTAAGTAATATATTGTTGTTTAATACATTTCTGGATGCTGTCATAATGATATTCTATAATTTTATGAACTTTGTTCGGTTCTCTTTGTTCAACTATGCAATTGTTGAATTTATTATGTAAAATGTTAAAGTTATGTCATATGTTAAAAGTTAAGAAAATCATATGTTTCTGAGGTAGAATTTGTGCTTATTTATTGCATTATTTCAATATTGTTTGGTCTAATCTCAAGTTTTTATTTTTCATTCATACAGATTGTCGACTGATTGCCGAAATCATTTCGAAAGAATATCTCGATGACTAGAGTGCAAGTTTGGTATGTTAACAACATTTGTAATTTATGAATTTGTACTTTATTTAGATCAGAATGTTTTATTTTTTATTCCAAATTATCATTTCGCGCGAAACGCGCTATTACAGCGCCCCAACGGTGAAGCATGCAATATACTTCCTAGGATTGTCGAAATAATTGCTATTTCTCATGATCGAGCGGAAAGGAGCACGATTCATCTGTAAAGAAGAAAGTATTATACAGAAGAATCGTTCGGAAAGAAATATCACCCAAAAGTTTTCAGGTAAAATGTCCATCCTAACCATTACAAATATTGTGACCTTGTAATATGACTACCTTCTTATTTTATATATATATATATATATATATATATATATATATATATATATATATAAATTGCATCACAAATTCTTCATAAATTCTGTATAATTATTTTGCTTGAAACTTCAAAGTACATTAATTGAATTTTGAATGACGCGCGTAAAATATTTCAATGGCGCGCTGCTTTAAGCCAATGGGCATGCACGTTGCGTTAGCCAATAGGAAAGTGACTAGAAGAGAATTTGGCGGGAGATGCCACAATTCCAGTTTCGGGTGTCATGGCGTCGAGACGTGTCGATCTGTTTGAAAGTTGTGAATTTTGTTAATGCGTAACATTTCCACTATCATTCCACCACCTCCTACAGTGTACTATCAGGTTCGTTTAACTAATATATTGTTGTTTAATACATTTCTGGATGTTGTCATAACGATATTCTATAATTTTATGAACTTTGTTCGGTTTTCTTTCTTCAACTATGCAATTGTTGAATTTATTATGTAAAATATCATATGTTAAAAGTTAAGAAAATATATCATATGTTTCTGAGGTAGAATTTGTGCTTATTTATTGCATTATTTCAATATTGTTTAATCTCATATTTCTAGTTTCCATTCTTACAGATTGTCGACTGATTGCCGAAATCACTTCGAAAGAATATCTCGATGACTAGAGTGCAATTTTGGTATGTTAACAACATTTGTAATTTATGAATTTGTACTTGATTTAGACCAGAATGTTTTAATTTTTATTCCAAATTATCATTTCGCGCGAAACACGCTATTACAGCGCCCCAACGGTGAAACATGCAATATACTTCCTACGATTATCGAAATAATCAATGTTGCTCATGATCGAGCGGAAAGCATGACGGAAAGGAACACGACTCATTTGTAAAGAAGAAAGTATTATACAGAAGAATCGTTCAGAAAGAAGTATCGCCCAAAAGTTTTCAGGTAAAAAGTCCATTCTAACCATTACAAATATTGTGACCTTGTAATATGACTACCTTCTTATTTATATATATATATATATAAAAATTGCATCACAAATTCTTCATAAATTCTGTATAATTATTTTGCTTGAAACTTCAAAGTACATTGAGTTTTGAATGACGCGCGTAAAATATTTCAATGGCGCGCCGCTTTAAGCCAATGGGCATGCACGTTGCGTTAGCCAATAGGAAAGCGACTAGAAGAGAATTTGGCGGGAGATGCCACAATTCCAGTTTCGGGTGTCATGGCGTCGAGACGTGTCGATCTGTTTGAAAATTGTGAATTTTGTTAGTGCGTAATATTCCCACTATTATTCTACCACCTCCTACAGTGTACTGTCAGTTGTTCGTTTAAGTAATATATTGTTGTTTAATACATTTTTGGATGCTGTCATAACGATATTCTATAATTTTATGAACTTCGTTCGGTTCTCTTTGCTCTACTATGCAATTGTTGAATTTACTATGTAAAATATCATATGTTAAAAGTTAAGAAAATCATATGTTTCTGAGGTAGAATTTGTGCTTATTTATTGCATTATTTCAATATTGTTTGGTCTAATCTTATATTTCTAGTTTTCATTCTTACAGATTGTTGACTGATTGCCGAAATCACTTTGGAAGATGACTAGAGTGCAATTTTGGTATGTTAACAACATTTGTATTTTATGAATATTGTGTATTTGATTTAGACCAGCGTGTTTTATTTTTTATTCCAAATTATCATTTCGCGCGAAACGTACGATTACAGCGCCCCAACGGTGAAACACTTATAATACTTCCTACGTTTATCGAAATAATCGATGTTTCATGATCGATTTTTAACGGGAAACATGATGGAAAGGAGGACGTCCGATCTGTAAAGAAGAACGCCCCATCTGTAAAGAAGAAATTATTATCCAGAAGAATCATCCAGAAAGAAGTATCATCAAAAATTCTGAGGTAAAAATATATATCAATAGCTGTTAGATTAGTGTTTGTGTT